TGTATCTAACTTTATGGGTAATTTCATTTAAATGAAATAGGTGATATAGGCTAGAGTGGATTCGTGGATTGCACTGTAGTTTTATTATTACTTCATATTTTCTACTCATTGATGTATTCAGTACCAATCGTAACACAGGTTAATAAAGCTAATGGTGCATATTTTGATAACAAATCTTTTACACAAGTTCTATTGAAATAGGTGATACAGGGTGGAATAGATTACTATTAATACAATTAGTAGTTTGTGTCTACTCATTGTTGTTTACCCTTTCTTTATAATGTGATCTTTTTAATGCAGAGTTTGATTATTGAGCACATTAAGTGACACAGGTAAATCATATCAGGCTAATAGTGGAAAGAAAGTGGCATTTTATGTAGTTGTGGTATTTTATTTATTATGTATATATTATGTATATATACTTAAATATATTTATATATATATGTGTGTTCATTTTATTGAGAAATAAAAATTTAAAAGTACTTGATTTTAATTTGTTTTCTTATCACAGGTGTTTGTATGTTTTCAAAAAATCTTAACTTGTTTGAACGCAGGTTGTCGATAAAGAAAATGATCTAAATACAATGTTAGTTGCAGCAGTCCAAACTAATGAAGCTGGACAAATTGAAGGCGAGGAGGGGGTGGGGTCGTCCCACCAAAGGGGGCTTATTTTTCTTTCAAAAATGTTCACGTTTGTACCTTGATCGTGGCATTTATGCTTAATAATTTCAAGAGTATGAGTAATGTGGTACAGTGTGTGTGTCTAATTATGTGTATGTGTTGGGGGAGAGAGAATGGATGACTAGTCTCTGCCCAACCCTTTGGATTTGCAAATGATATGTGCAAACAATATGAATTTTCAAATTAAAGTACCGAATATCTATACCAGAACTGGATAGAAAAAATACACTTACAGAACTGTACATAAATACAGTTACACACTCCACAACACACCACATTCTTTCATCTTTCAGTACTGTTTCTTTCTTCTCTTTTCTCTCCTTTTTTTCTTCTTTCTTTCCTTTCTTTTTCTTTCTTTCTTTTCTTTTCCTTTTCTCTTTTTCTTTTCTTTCCCTTTCCCTCTCCTTTTTTCACTCCCCCTGTTCTTTTTTTGGTAAAAGAAAATGTGTTTTTGTAGCCATTAATATCAGTTTAAATAAATTTATTTTATGATATCAACACTTATAGTTGGTTTATTTTCATAGATGTAAAAATCTAATTAAATGACATACAGACTTTCATAACTTTGGTGGTACCATCTGGCAATACAAGAAATATAGCTTGAATTTAGACTGGTTTATATACAAAAACTGGCACAAAGTGATAAATTCACACACATATGATACATAAAATACAAAGAAAAAACTACTTTTCCCTATTACCTCAAGAACATGTCCATCTGTGTCATAAGATGCTATTGAATGTATTCTACTGGTATTAGACAAATTATTTTTTGAGTTGTTCATCCAACTGACTCCAGCAAAACCTCATTTGAACAAGATCAGATAAGGTTCTGGTTACAAAGTGATTGCTGATCTCATACCTATTTTTCTTTTCTTTCTCCCACCCTGATATAAGAAGGTTTTGTTGTACTCAACAAATCAACATCCAGTGCATATTTTCCATGAACACTGGCAGATAAGATGATCAATTTGCAGTTGTTGCTTGTATTCCTGTATCTGACTCACACAGCAATGACCAATTCACAGCTTGAGTGCTCCACACTGTCTTTTTTTTTATTGTTAGCTCTTTGAGCGATTCAAATCACCACTTAATAGTTTATCCTTTCACAAAAGAATAATTAACTATAACCAGAATAGAAATAAAGTAAAAAAAACATTAAAAGAATTATTTTGTATTGAACATTTTGTCCATTTTGGTTAATAATTCAAATAAATTATCTTGCTTTAGTCTTTTGAAAAAATCTTTCTTCTCGCTTGAGAATCAATTTGTCATATTTATACATTTTATATTTTCACTTGCCCGATGTGAAATTTTACTTCCTTATAAGCCAACATTAAAATGGTAACAGTGATGCTTGCTTGTCAAATCCTATTGAATAATACTGACTGGACATCAAAGAAAAATATTTGTCACAAACATGGCCAGTGACATGGAACAATTAAATAAAGGTTACAAAGAGGTGATTAGAGTTTATTCAATGTACTGTAAGCAGTACACAGACCTGCACATCATATGCTGAATCATCATTAATGTGGGGGGTCCTATTAAAAGAACAGGTAATTTGAGAATAATGAAAGACTTCTTTCAACATTTCTGGTATTATACAAATAGTGAATGGCCATGAGAGCAACGGTACAAGATTTTATTAAGAGACGCTCTATCCAAAGAGGTGCACCCAAGTTGAATGGAGCATCTCTACGTGCATGTTCTGTAATATTAACATGACTTATTCACATAATTGCGACTTAATCAATATTTTCCTATTAACATTACTGTTTACTAGGTTAATGATATATGTTTGTTTTGCAAATGAGTATTATTTTTTTTAACTGTTTTGTATAAACGTTATAAACGATGTAAATATGTTCATGTTTATTCAGGGCCCCATGGAAGACCACTACTTGTTGGTGAATGGGCTACCCTGTCAAAAGATTAGAAATAAATAAATAAATAAATAAATTCATAACAGAAATTGTTTCGATCAAAGTTATTGAAAATACTCGTCCAGTGATGGAGGCTGCAGTTCAAAGTAGGAGGATGTATTGTTACCATAAATACATGTGTGGGCATTTGTCAGAATGGCCGACACCATGTACATCTTTGCACAAGAACTTAGCAGGATCTTTTGACTTTTTTTGAAGTCCGTGTATTTGAAGAAGTTGATTACATCCCCAAAGGACCACTCCACAGTAATTCTGACTTTGGACATAGCTCTGTTGAATGCTGCCTGTTCCGGTGTGATGTTTGCAGTAGGAAATGGGGCCTGCAGCTGGGGTCTGACGGGATAAGCAGGGTCCCCGTAGATGCACAACAAGTTACCCTCTGCATCATGGGATCCGCCTTCAAGCATGGTTAGAAGACCTGACTCCCGTAGAAGGTAGGCGTCATGTCGTCGTCCTTCCACAGGTCCGTAAAGGTTGGCTATCATTCCATTTGGAGAAGTGACGGACTGGTACTTAAGACTATGTACACGCTTGTGGCCATTGTAAGCCACCCGTTGGTGTTCCCCAGGTCGGCATATCGGACGAACGGTCCCATCTATGAACCCCCAACAGTTGTTTAGTGGTGCCCCTTTCTGGTGAATGACATCAGCGTAAATTCTCAGCTGCTGAGGGGCCAACCAATGCTGCTCCAATGTTGTCAGTCTGTGCTTGTGGGCATCAAAGATGAAGTTAGTCACCCAGTTGAAGGCTAAACAGAGCTGGGGCACTGGTCGTCGATAGTCTTTAACTAAATCTCCATATCGGCATGGATAGGCATAGCGTTGCAGACCTAAGCAGAGAGCCTCCAATCCATCCATTCTTGACCTGTTTGGCAAGGTGATTCTGTCTGGAACGCCTAAAGCATGTTTGAGCCGAAATATATCATCCTTTTTGAATCTGTTAAAAAAAACAAGAAATAAATCAGAACATTAATCAGTTTGAATTTAACATTTTTCTTTAGCTTAAGTGTTTGACAAACAGTGGTGCATATTATAGCAAAGGATATCATGCAAAGTGACTTAGCCGATTTGACAAACGTACCCCAAAATTGGCCTCCCTAAACTACTGTCGGGCCGAAGTGTCAGGCCGACCTGACCAGAGTCGACTTGAAAATATATAGGCCTTACTCTGCTGTACGTGTAAATGAAAAGTGTAATAATTTGTAAACTCAACATTTAGACTAGAGTCTACTCTAGATCTAGTCCACTCCAGCAAAGCATAGACTAGAGTCAATGCTAATGCGTATTGACCTCTAGCACTACAATACGTAGAGTCTATAGAGTCTACGTGTTAATAGGCAGCATATGCACACATGAATAGTCAATAGACTCATTATACACAAATGCACACAATCATGCCGATGTGGCTGATGTGGCTGATCGGCGAGTATGACAGTAAATTATTTTGTCTAACATCAGTGAGCTGAACAAAAATTGCATTTTAATACTGCTACTACTGTGCTAGATCTATAGACCTAGACCGAATTGTCTGTCTCTTTCATTCGTTAGCCTAGGATTTAGGAGCCGACCTTACCCAAATCAGAGGCTAACGAACGAGAGAGACAGAAAATTCGGTCTAGATCTAGACCTAGCTATAAATAATGGTGTCATCAAATTCAAATGTCAATTTTGTGTGCAATCAGTTGAGTTTTGTCCTTAGGCCTAGACTCTAACTGTTAGGCTATATTGAAATGTTGAGAATCAATAGCACAACTTTCAATACACAGCCAGGCCAAGATAGTAATGCAGCTATAGATCTAGATCTAGTCTAGTCTAGACCTAGGCCCCATATATTGAATACAAATTTTGAATAAAAATGTTATAGATCTACTAAGTTAGACTCTAGGTCTAACTTAGTATAGATCTATTAATAATTAATAGACAATAGGGTATAGGCCCTAGTAACTTTTAGAGTTCTAACCTGAAATAGCTTCTACACTCATCATCGTTGAAATCGTCTAACTCAAAGTGACCACCATCATGTTGGAAGTCAAGGTTGTTAGATGTGTTGATATCCATAAGAAGAATGAACTCTACATCATCTATAACGTCGAAAGCGTAGGCTGCCATAACTGCATCTTGCACTCGATGCAAATTCGCCATGTTTGAGGGAGAGCTAGAGCCTAGAGGGATATTCCCAAGCGTGATGACGTCAGCTACTCTGTAATTATACGTCCGCATTCACCGAAGAGCGAAACCGCCTATTGTAACCAGAGCGGTCTGTGTGCGCGGCCGTAAACCTGAGTGCTCTGCTTCCGCGAAGGTTCCTTATGTTGGTGAGCGAAAACTCGCTATTAGTGGTGTCGGCGGTTTCGGCGGGCAGGTCTCGGTAGGATCAGGTGAGTAGCTTGGTGGCGTCGGCGTAGTCGCTGCGTCGGTGGTGGGTCTTGTGTTCTTTCAGTCGGGTGTCGAAATCGCGGCCGGTTTCTCCAATGTAGACTTTGCCGCAGTCGCAGGGAATCTTGTAAACGCCTGGTTGTTTGTTGGATGGGTGCTTGTCCTTGTGAGAGTGAAGAGTGGAGTGAAGCTTGTGGCTGGATTGGTGTCTGATGAGGATGTTGGCTGAGGGGAGGATGCGTTGTAGTCGGTGTGATGTCTTGCCGATGTAGGGAAGTACGATGGTGGCGGTAGGCTTGGTATCAGGTTGGGTTCCGGTGGTGATGTTACTGGTCTTGTGGTAGGAAGTTCGGGTGTTGATTTTCCTTCTTGGGTACTGGTTGATGGAAGTGAGTGCGTGCGTGATGTGCTTGAGTTCTTGCTGGAGATGTGCTTTGTCACTGAGTTGGTGGGCTCGTCTGATGAGTGAGTTGGAGACTGATTGGTGGACTGATGGATGGTGGTGAGATCGGAAGTTGAGGTAGCGGTCTGTGTGGATTGGTTTCCGGTATACTTGGTGCGCGGGGAATCCTGATGGTGTCTAGGTGATGAGTACGTCTAGGAAAGGGATTGAGTTGTCGTGGTGAGTCGGTCTCCATGGTGAACTTAATGCTGGGATGTTGGTTGTTGATGTGGTCGAGGAACTGGTGGAGGTCTGGTGTGCTGTGTGGCCAGATGACGAAGGTGTCGTCGACGTAGCGTAGCCAGAGTGAAGGAGACTTGTCGGCGGACTTGAGTGCTTGGTGCTCAAGGTGTTCCATGAAGATGTTGGCGATGATTGGTGAGAGTGGAGATCCCATGGCTGCTCCTTGAAGTTGTTTGTAGAAGTTGCTGCGCCACTTGAAAGAGTTGGAGTGGAGGCAGGTGAGAAAGAGGTCGTGGATCTGGTCAGGTGTGAGCTTGGTCCTAGATTCGAGGTCTGGGTCTGAGATGAGGCGTTGTTTGATGATGTCGCATGCTTGGTCTACAGGAACGCTGGTGAATAGAGAGGTGACATCGAAGCTGACGAGTGTGTCGGATGGCTGGATCTTGGTTTTGGAGAGGATGTCGATGAAGTGCTTGGAGTTGGTGACGTGGTGCTGGGTTTGGCCTACGAGTGGTTGTAGAATGTTGGCGAGATGACGTGCAGTGTTGTAGCAGGATGATCCTCCACTTTCTCGCCTTTCCATTTCACTTCTATTTTCTATCCACTTTCCTTAGTCCTTCTAGGACTTTACACATGATGTACCGTAGACCTCTACCACGATTATATTGATATTGTATTAAATTTATAAAAATAAACACCAACATATAATAGGGAAGAAGCCTACCAGAGGCAATCTATTATAAGGTACCTATGAAATGAATGCCATTTTTCATAAGTTATTCCACTTTTTTAGCTATTGTATTGTGTTTCAAAAAAAAAATCAATATCGTGTAAGATGATATTAATGTTATTTTGATATTTTAAAGGGGAAAAAAGAATGTATAAATTTGCATGTACACATATATATATATATATATATATACTCGTCTATGCAAAAGGCAAGAAAATTACCAACAGCATAAAATAAAGTGGCAACCATGCATGGACAAACGAGCTCTCAAACACTATCCCTCGTTGGAATCTGACAGGCACCAAAGAGAAGAATACTAATGATAACAATCGGTAAGAAATATTAACCCAAAGCATAGCCTAACAAAAAAAAAAAAAAAAAAAAAAAAAAAAGAAAGAGGATACTATCTCTAAGTTATTCCTCCTTTCCAATAATCGCCGTCACGTTTTTTCTGATTAATAAAGCGTAAAACAGAGATGAGCACACACCCTTGGTATATATATAGAAAATACAATGCCGTGATGTAATATGAGCAGAAAAAGGATGGTATAGATATGCTATATTTTACATCTTTGTGTGCCTGACTAGAGAGCTAGACAGGACGAACCCGCCGGACCAGGTCACTCCCCGCCAAGATCCAAAGGCATCCCCTGGCCTGATTATGATCCCGCAGGGAGCCGCGAAGAGGAAAATCGCCGCACCCTATGTAGACATTAAGCCTCACACTCAGCGAACGACGGAGGATTCCTCAACCGTTGACACGGGAGGTTGTGCTTTCCAACCACCACCGGCCCCAGCCACCGGGCCACCCCGCCCGACCTCTAGAACAAGTGTGTGCCTTGTATTTCAGTGAGGGTAGTACGAATAGTGTAAGTGGTATCATGTGTGTATATAGCTTTTTCTTGTATAAAAGTAAAATGAAGAAAGCTTTAATATATAAACCAGAATGCGTGCCATCCATCCTTCACGCTAACATTTATACAAATTTCATTTACTCCAAAGAAAATTCTGTATTACTTTAAATCGTTTGCATGTTATATGATAATATGTGCTAGGAGTTTGACATTACTTTAGTAAAGCTATAATTCAATTATATAGGAAATAAGCGACAATAAGTCCATATAAACTATATCTATATGAATATAAGCGTATACTCGATTTCTTATATACCTTGCACGAAGCGAAAAACTTGTCAGATTTCGCCTCTTTCCTAATGATACAGGCAATTAAAAAAAACAAAAAAATAACAATAATAATACATATATATATATATATATATACGCAAGAGACAGTAAAGGCTAGATTATAAGTTATTTAATCATGAGAATACTTCTTAAAACTGTTGCCAAATAAAGGCAAAACACGATGTAATAAAATTGTAGAGGCGTTTTGGAATTTCGCGAAAAACTTTGTCATAATTATAGTGAAATTGCTAGAATTTGGACCGTATGTTCAGGAAGGTGTGTCGGTACGTAACCTCTAGCCCCCTAACCACATACCGTCTTACCTGCTGCTACTGTACATTGCAGCAGCTTTTCTCCCTAGGTCACTCTGGTACGGACCAAAGGCCGCCCGAGCTTCCTAGCTTACTAATAGGTAAGATTTGTAAAATCTAGGACAGTAACATGCTCAAAAGGTAGCTACAAATAAAATAAACCATTTTTCGAGTACAACTATCAAATTTACGTATGACATTTCCATTTGAAATCCGAGAATTTGGAAGTAGACTAAAAATGCTCTCCAAACTGTACTTATCATTTACTCAAATTTATAACTATATAGGTGAATTTTATTGGCCTAACCTTTACAGCTCATGAAATTGGCCAGTGGCCTTTACGTATTTTAATAGCGAAGAAATCCCGTCATTACACCGGAATATTTCTTTTAATGATAAAGGGCCTTCCCGTTTTAGAAAACGATTTCTGGCCACATTGTGCTTTGTACAATATAATAAGTAATGTTCAGTATTTTCAGTTTGATTGCAAACATCGCATAACCCGTTGGGATGCTTTCTAATATCTAACAAAAATTTTGCTAAGCATATCACTCCAGTGCGTAGTCTGTGTATAATAATTTCCTCTCTTCTTGAATTTACATCAAGTTTCGGAATAACATATACGGGGTCGACTATAGGATAAATGTGTTTTGTTTTGTTTGATGTACTAGCCCTATTATCCCACATTGTACGGGAAATGCGTAACAAATCTTTAGAAGCTTCTTCTACGTTAGGTTTTACCGTAACTTCTACTTCGTCACTTGTTAGTGCCATTTTAGCTAGTTGATCTGCTACCTCGTTTCCATGGATACCACAATGAGCTGGTATCCATGCGAAAGTAACGTTAATTCCTGAGTATAATAGGTTTTTGTATTTGGTGAAAATTTCATAAATCAGAGGCGAGTTGATATGTTTACGGTTCTTTAATAAGAAAAGTGTACTCAACGAGTCCGATAATATAACTGCTTGAATAGGTTGGTATTCTTCAAGCCAAGTTAATGCCAGAATAATGGCGGTCTGTTCTGATCTACAGACTGATATATTTGATATTCTTTTGGTTTCGCTGTATTTTAACTGCGGAACATAAAAAGAGGCTCCAGTTCGAAGTGAGTTGGGGTCTTCTGATCCATCAGTATAAACTCTTAAAGAGTTAGTATAGGTCCTGTTTATAGTTTCTAAAGCTGCTTGCTTTATAGAAAATGGGTTGTCCTTTTTAGATATAGATTCATGAATATCAAAATTAATTACAGGTAGGGGGAAGTACCATATGGGCTGATCTGGGGTGATACTATGCTCGATATCCGGGTTGTAATCTAAAGTGACAACCGGTAACGGTGGATGTTTAAAATGACGTAACTGATATTGCCAGCAATCTGCGAATATGTCCTTAGTAGGATGAGAATTGCTGGCACTTATTATTTTCAATTTATATAGATGAGACAAATGTATACGACGAATATCCAAAGGCATTTCACCACATTCAATTTGAAGGCTCTCTAAGGTAGTAAAGGGAAGTGTCCCTGTGATTACTCTCAAAGTTATATACTGTAGAGAATTTAATTTGTTTATTACCGACGGGCTGGCTGCGTTGTAGAATTGACAAGCGTAATCTATTACTGATCTGATAATTGCTTTATAAATTATCAGTAGAGTCTTTGTATCCGCTCCCCAATTTGTTCCAGTGATGCATCGGATAATATTAAGACGTTTTTTACATTTTAATATAACTGTATCTATATGGGCTTTCCATATGTATTTACTATCGAGAATTACCCCCAGGAATTCGTATTCTGGCGTAACTTCTACGATAGTGTCATTAATATATAGTTTCACAGATTTCTCCTTTCTGCAACGAGTAAAAATTATAGCTTTTGATTTAGTAGCTGACAGTTTGAGATGGTTATTTTGTACCCAAGAAGAGATGGAGTGTAAATCTTCTTGCATCTTTTTCTCCGCTAAACATAGATGTTTGCATGAGTACCATATTTCTATGTCATCTGCAAAAATTGATATCTTACAGTTGTTACAGTTTTCTATCAAGTCGTTAATATATAATTTGAAAAGAATTGGGCTGATTACACTGCCTTGGGGGAGGCCAATTTTAACATGATTTACATTGGATAATGTATTATTAATTTTGACTTGAAAAGTCCGGTTTTTCAAGAAACATCTAATCCATTGTAATATGGAACCAGAGAAACCGTAGTTTACTAATTTGTTCATTAGAATATCACTACGTACGCTATCGAACGCCTTTTCTATATCTAAGAAAGTAGCCAAAACGTAATTGTTGCCAACTATGGCTTTATATATATCCGTATCTAATATTGCTATATTATCTACTACACTTCTTTTTTCTGTGAAACTGGATTGAAGGGGGGGGGGGGATATAATATTGTATTTATTACAGTGCCATGAGAGTCTTTTGGATATAATTCTCTCCATGATTTTACCTATTACCGAAGTTAAGGAGACTGGTCTATATGAAGATAGTTCCGCTTGGGTTTTACTTGGTTTTAGTATAGGGATAACGTGAGATTCTTTCCATTGTAACGGAATATTGGATGGGTCGGTCCAAATCCTGTTTAAAATAAAAACTAAAATATTTATACAATTTTAGGGCAGTTTGGTTATAAATGATGAATTAATCCCATCCGGGCCTGAGCTGGTATTAGGAGTTATGTTTATTGTTTCGTTAAGTTCATCAACGGTAATGGCTTCATTTAGAACTTCAGAATTATCATCATTATTTATTGGTGTGACCCTGGGCTGAGTATCGTATTGATAAACCAACTTTGTTTGAATATCAGAGTAGTATTCTGCAAATCTTTTAGCTTTTTCAGAATCGTCGTTGATAACTTTCCCATTTGAAGATATTTTATATTGAATAGAGTTAGATTGGGGGTTAGTTATGGATTTAACCTTTTTCCAGATTTTTGTAAGAGGAGTAAATCTATTAAGGGTTGAACAAAAAAATTCCCAGTATTCTTTTTTTGCTCTTCTGATACATAACTGGGCCTCCGCTTTTTTCTTTTTGAACTCCAGTAAATCCTCCATTTTCAACGACTTTCTAAAGATTCTATTCGCTTTGTTTCTCTTTTTGACAGCTACGGAGCACAATTTACTCCACCAAGGGATTGGAGTTTTACATGTGTTATGCTTTTTAGGTGGAATCGCTGCGTTAGCAGCGTCTATTATTTTTGCCATGAAATTATCGTAAAGTGTTTGCGTATTTTCATCATAAACATCTTCTAATTTCATATTTTGTAAAATTCCTTTATATAAATCCCAGTCAGCCTTATGAATCGCTAATTGAGAGTTAGGGGTGATATGGGTGGCAATCATAGTGTTAGGAGGA